CCCCAGGGGGTATGCGTTCCAAAGAGCCACCTCCCAGAGACAGCAGTAGTGCCTCACCCCAAAGGTGTGGAAGAGGAGAGGGGTCCTGCAGCTGCACCTCTCATGCAGATCACAGGGAAAAGGTCATCCCCGCTACTCAGAGGTCAGTCCTGACTCTGCACAGCTGCCAGAGCAGGCTGGCCTGGGCCGCTGGCCTGGGGGACTGACAGGAGCACAACCACCAGGCTGCCCACTGGCCCCAGGCCAGATACAGACACTCATATGCACAGCACACACACACATAAACACACAGGCACATATACAGCCAGACACCGTGCTCATGCACACATTTTATCTGCATATATGAGCTGTTATTAGCCGTTTTCTTCTTCTCGAGTTCAAGGAGGCATCCAGCTACGGGGCCTTCTTAAGCCACATTACGTTGTTGGACTTGTTTGAAATGGAATTTCCTGCTTTTTTTTCACCTTCTCAAACATAATTCTCCTAAATCAAATATAAATTTCTCCACTTCCGTAACTTACTTTAAAAGCTTTTCTTCCTTTTTATGTAGAATATTTGCCTCCTTCAAGGCGTCTGGGGTCCCGCTTAGGTTAGAGGTTATTTGGTGAACACGGGACGCCCAGGTCCTCACCTCGCTTCCCGGTGGAACATCACGGGGGCCTCCCTCCCTCCCTCGTTCGCTGACCCCCGGCCGCTGTGCCAGGGTCCCTGCAGATGGGAGAGGGTATCCCTGCTCCCGTCCAGCCTGTGTCCAGTGCCCGGGGCCTGGACCAAACCCTGAACACACAGAGTTGGCCCCGTGGGTCATGCAAACAATTCAGGAGACTCGAAGCTGAAACCAAAGCTCACTTTTCTGTCACTCAGGAAATGTGCTTTATGCAAATTCTTTACCAAAGTCCTTGGAGGAAGTGCTGAAACACTGCTCCCATGTCTTTAAACATCTTATGTTCACTCGGCAGCCAAAGGAGAGCTTCGCAGGCCCACCGCGGCCTCTTACACGAGCCCAGAGAGGTCGATGGAGGCCAGTGCAGACAGAGCTGCCCTGGGACCTGTTCTGCTGCCCCTGTCTGTCCCCAAGCCGCTGTCCCCTTTAAGGGCTCTCCCTCATGGGAGCCTATGACCCGCAGAGGCCCTTAGAAACACCTCTAAATTCCGAGAGGCGACAGCTGTGTTTCCAGGTGTGCTCGTGCGGCCAGCCTGCCTGCCCAGGCCTCCTGGTCGGGGAGAATAAACGGGCCCCCAGTGCTGGGAGGGTTGGGGAGCCTCTGCTTTCGTTTGGAGTCCTGGTCTGTGCCTGCTTACGTTTAAAGTTTGAAATGGACAAGTGTATGAAATGGACAAGTGTACTGGACACATGTATGAAACATGTCCAGTCTCAACTCCAGAGCCCCCACGGGCCCTGTAGGATTCATGGGGGAGGAGAAGGGGGGGTCTTTCGCCATCTGGGCAGGAGCAGGTGGGGCTGGAACCCGCCCAGGATGTGGGCTGTGGTATCTTCTAAAAGCAGCGCTGCATCCAGGAAAGGACTGGGACACAGGAGCCCGCTCGGCCACCATCTCAGCCCTCCTCCCTGTGTCCCACTTCTTAACGCCATGAAGAGGGGTTTTTCTTGTCCATCGATTAATGCGCAACTTTTGCCATCTTGGTACACACAAGAAAGTTCCTTGGCAACCAAGCTCTTCATAAATGTAATTGCCATGAATTCTGAATCCCGGGGATTCAAATTAGTGATATTATACTGTGTCTCCCAAAAGGCTTAATATTAACATCGCGCTCAGTAAATATCCAGGGAGTCTGAGCGAAGCCCAGGATCGATACAAACATTACACACTGACCGAGCACCGTGAGTCAGGAGGGGCTGCTAACACACGCAGTGCCCTTGACTTACTGAGAATGGAAAACACGCAGATGAGAAAACGGAAAATAGCATGATCCCCACTTTGTCTTTTGAAAATTAAGAACAGGTAGGTAGATAGTGAGATATTTAGAATGCATGGGGATGGGAGAGAAATGCGTAGAAGATACCTGCCAATATATATACTATTAAATGGGCTGTGTCTGGTCCAGCAGGATCATAGATAAATTGCCAAATGCTTCTCTTTGAAGGCAGCTGTGCTCACCACTATACCACCAACGCCGTACCAAATGCTTCTCTTTGAGATGCTCTGTATTCCCTCTGTTTCCTGCCACGGTCATATGTTATTTTATATAAAATGATGTTTGACACATAATAACGTAGCCGCGGACCTTGAATGACAGGGCACTCTCCCCTGTGGACTCTGCACGACCCTACATCTCTTCCCCAATCTGCTCCCTTCGTGCATCAAAGTCTGCACCACGTGCCAGGGCTCTTCTCCAGAACTGTTCGCTTTCTGGAATTTTCTGCCCTCCCTGTGTCAGTAAGACTGCTCCTTCTTGCCACTTGGATTGAATCCACCATTTGCTGATGTCAGCGTCCTGTGGTCCTCTCCTCCGTGGGGTGAGGCCTGCAGTGTGGACCGAGGTCCGAGGGAGCCTGCGAGGCCGGGGCGCCCTCCCGCCCAAATGCAAACCGCGAATGGTGTGTGCTGAAGTGCCTCTTCCTGGAAGAGGACCTGTGGCTTTCACTGACTTCCTCACGGCGTCTGCGACACAAGAAAGAGCTAAGAACACCGCACTCCACACTACAGCGGGCTCTCAGTGAGGAAACAGAAACGGACCCGACGTCAAGTTCCCTGCGTTTCCCTAGTGGCAGTGCACCTGACATCAGCAACCAAGACAGCCACCTCGCTGGTTCCAGCCACTTGCATTCAAGGCCCCTGTCCTGGTAGAGGAGGGACACGTCCCAGGTGTGGCACAGGAGCACGTCACCGGGACCAGATTTGAGTATCGAGCCTCAGAGTCTGCTCACTTTGGGCAGAAAGAAGCGATGTGTTTGTGTAGCCTTGCCCCTGCTTGGCCCCTGACCCTGGGGTGTTTTGGAAGCCTGCCCAGGGAGGTTATGGTCCCAGCCCACTTGTCTTGGGTGCTGCTGGGCCAGTGTCCCCAGCATGTGCTCTGGCGGTGATGGGAGGAACTGCTGCAGTCACTGAGTTGCTTCGTTTTCCTTAGAAATCATCTGCATTTATTTTTAGCCATATTCAGTGCTACGCTTGATGAAAAGGGGGAATTGAGTGGCATCGCCAGGCATATCTTTTTGCACAAAAATTGAGGTGTGATTGCAAAGTAACAAAGCCAATCTTTTTATTTCTGATGAGCGAGTCAAATCTGAAAGCCTTTCCAAGGCCGCCTGCCTAGTGGCCGCGTCTCCGGGTCCCTGTGCGGCCTGCCAGCGTGACCGGCCGGAAGTCGCACGCCAGCTTGGAGGCGTAGCCCTACTCATCCTTTGATGAAAGCCGAGCCCTGGCTTTCTGGGCACGCCCGTGCCCGAAGGACTCCAGGAATGCCACGCAGCCCAGCTCCTACTCACCCCGACCGGCCTGCGCGGTTCTCACCCGTGTCAAGGCCACAGTTCCTCCTGGTTAACGGCTCCAGGGAGGACCTTCAAGTGCAAAGCTTTCAGGTTAATGAAATTGCCGTCCTTGCTGGCAAGCCTGTGGTTTTGCCCACTGAGCCTTCTGTTGCATTTTAATGCCCTGGCGCCACATTTCCCTTTTCTTTGTTTTGGATAACAGACATTTGTTCCACGTCTTCAGCTGGTGCTTAGGGGTATAGAAAGAGAGAGCCAGAAGTGCATGCAAGAAAAGTAAAGATTCAAGGAGCGGGGAGGAGGGACTTGTCCTGTAGAAACCCACAGATGAAAGCGGCAGCTCATGCTGGGAACAGGCCCTGAGATGGTAGCGTGGGCTGTGGCTGAGCTGAATGGGGTGGGGGTTGGCGGCACCTGAATGCCAGCAGCCTGGGCAGGAGGGGGAACCACTGCCCTGAGCCAGCTGTCCTCCCAGGGACACGGGCAGCCTCGAACTAGCCCCCAGTTACCAGCCTTGCGAGGTACCCCCTGTGTATCCATGGTAACCCTCTTGTTTCTCTTTGTCGCCAGTGGAAGGACTAAAAGTGGTGGAGATTGAGAAATGCAAGAGTGACATTAAAAAGATGAGAGAGGAGCTGGCGGCCAGAAGCAACAGGTAAGGTCTGAACTGAGTGAGCGGGGCAGACAGTGGGGGAGCTCAGCCATCCAGGGGACATGGGGCCGGGGGTACGCGGGTGAGGTGGGGGGTGGGAGCGGGGGTCTGAGCTTTGCTTTCCCGAAAGCAAGCCTGGAGTCTGGAGCATGTGACCTGGCCCCCGGCTGGGTGGGCGGCTGAGTGGGCGGCTGGGTGGCACAGCCTGGAGGCGGCCCTGCCCTGCTTGGGGTTTGCTTTTCAGTTACACAGCTTACTTTTCATAGGAGAGAGTTCATGGCAGATGGCGGCTAGGAGGCTGTCTGCATCTCAAGGGGAGGAGTCCTCCTGCACGTCAAAGTATTAGGATTAGCTCAGCCAGACTGAAAGAAGGTGACGGCAGCTTTTAAACAGAAGGGATGGGTGAATGCCCGTGGCTTTCAGGGCACAGGCATCCTGGTGCCTCATAGTTCCCACCCCCTGGTGGGCGTCCCCGTGGCACAAAGCAGCAGGTTGGGGAGAAAGGCCCGTGGCCGATCTGGACACAGAACTCACTTGAACTAGGGAACAAGGGATCCGTCCACATGTGGCCCTGGGGAGCCGACATTCGTGCAAAAGACACGCAGGCTTCCTCACGCCCCATGAAACAAAACCCTCTACCAAAACCAGGGTCACAGCAGCTGTTCAGGCTGAGGGCAGAGGTGCGCGGTGACAGCAGACGCTGAGGACAGCACAGCAGTGAGCCGTAACCGCGTGCGGGCTGGGCCGAGGGCTCTGCTGACAAGGACCAGGTCCCACCTGCCTGCTCCTGATTCCTCACACCAGAGTCCCATCCAGGAAACACGGGGTTACAATGTGGCTGTCACCCCCAGAACGCCATGCCCCTACGTGTTGCCGGGGTCGCAGCAGGGCCTCACAGGGTTCAATGGGGACAAATGAACCCGAGGACAGTCCTGTGCAAATGCACCCAACTGTCTTATGAAGAGTCGCCTAATAGTTTGGAGATCTCTCCCCGGTTTTAAAGCATAGTGCGACCTGCAAAGTGAGGGGTGTGGCTGTGATGGAGGGTCCGCCAGGGCAGGGGTGAGGGAAGCCAGTGGTCGGTCGCTGGTCAGTCCCCTCAGAGTCTGGCCAGGCTGGCCAGCCTCGGGGTGGGCTCCGGGAGAGCCTGAGGGGCTCAGAGCCCCGTTCATGTGTGTCCTTCAAGGAGCAAGCCATGTTTATGTCACACTTGGCAACTAATTTGGATTTGGGGGTGTCTCATTCCATTTTATTTGGGGGAGTTTGGGGCAGAGCAGTTTGTGACCACAGAAAATTCTGAGTGACTAATTCATCTCTGTCATCCTGTGGTGGGAGGCTCTTTACGTACCGGACAGGCGACAAGCCTCCGTGTGACCTAGTAAGAGTCCTGGCGTTGCCTGGGGCAGCTCAGCGGCTGGGACCCCAGGGCTGACACATGGCTCTGCATCTGGAAGGACCCCCAGACCCGACGTGACCCTTATGTCGTCACTCTCGGCTCAGACCCCACAGGGCTCAGCTCAGCCCTCTGGCTGTCCCCGTGCCCAGCTGCCACCTGCTGGGCCTCCATCTGTGGCCAGTCCTATGGCCCAGTGTGCCAGGCCCTGCTGGCCGTGCTTAGCCGCTGGCCTCAGAGTGGCTGCCACGGCCAAGGGCCACATCCACTGCGGCAAGGCGGGGTGGCCCGGCTCGGTGCCCACTGGGTTACGTACCCAGGAGCCCCTGGCACAGCTGCCGTCTGCCCAGGGCCAGGTGGGGCCCGTTGCCTCAGAGTGAGTGTGGGTCCAGCGTCGTCCGTCCGCATCGGGGGAAGAGGATTAAAACTCAAATTCTAGGGTTCAGCCTGACACTGAGGGCTCCCTGAGCGAAACCTCTCGGCCCAGAGGGTGTGTCTCTTGGGCTGGAATGGTGTCACCTCAGGTTCCTTCCCGTCTCTGTGGGCGTCACCTCACCCACAAACAGGCTGCATTCATGGAACCCACAGAGCATGTGCAGAAGGCGTTTGCAGCCTGTCGTCCCTTCTCAAATGACTGACTGCCACCTGCGTGCGTGTCTCAGGCACCCTCACTCCTCCACCCCCCTCCCATTGTGTAGATGCCAGCAGGGTGGCAGTGGAGCACCGCGGACATGAGGCCCCTGGTGGGCTTTCTGGCGTGCCCTGGTCCTCGGGTCAAGTTCAAAGGACAAAACAAAATTTTGTCCAAGTTGCGTTAGTGTCCTATGACAAAGCGCCATAAACTGAGGGACTTAAAACAATAGGAACTTGGTCTCTCACAGCTCTGGAGGCCCCACGTCTGAAATCAAGGTGTCGTAAGGCTACACTCCCCTGAAGGCTCTGGGGAAAAATGTGTCCCCAGCCTCCCAGCCTCAGGAGGCTGCTGGCTCTCCTTGGGGTTCCCTGGATTGTAGAGACATCACCCTAATCTCTGCCTCTGTCTTCACCTGGGTTCTGCACCCCCAGCCCCCATGTGTGTGTCCAAATGTCCCCTTTTTAAAAGGACACTGGTCATATTGGATCAGGGCCACCCTATTCCAGTGTGACCTCATCTTAGCTCATTACACCTGTAACAACCCTATTTACAAATGAAGTCACATTCACAGGTACTAGGGGGCTAGGACTTCAGCATGTGACTTTGGGGGACACAACTCAACCCACAACACACCCTAATTTCAGAGCACGTGGGAGGAAGCCGACCAGGGGCTGAGAGGCAAGCCATCATCTGCAGATTCCCCTGTGGGCCAGGGAGCCCCCAGGCTCCTCTGAGTAATTCAGGCCTCTTCCGCGAGCCCCCAAGAAGCACATTTTAGAGCTCACGGCACCATAATCCAAAAAGAAGACTTCCGATGCTCTAACCACTTCTAGAGGTGACATCCTCAGCAGACAGTTTTCACAGCATCCCACGTAGGTGAGAGACGGGTAAACGTGACTTCAGTCAAAAACAGAACAGGGGAGAAAATCTCAAACTTCACTGACAGCACAGCAAGGACCAGTATCCCAGGCTCCGGTCAAATCCACAGCGGCATCACCCGCCTTGGGCCCTGGTCCAGGAGCCCAGAGCCCCTCTGTGCCCGAAAGGACAGCTCTTTCCTTTTCTTTATGGGGAAATAAACCCAGATGGAGCACAAGAGCACTTGCGCTACCCCCTCCGTCTCTGTGGACGGCAGGGTTCTTTCTAATCATGCAGGAGCACCACGTAGCCTCTTAGCGTCCCTGGGACCAGGTTTGTTCCAGGTGACTTCCCCTGGAGTGCGGGGGGGAAATTGCACCTGTGAGCAGCACTTTCTGGAGATGTCAAGCCCCCTGGGCGGGCAGACAGAACAAAGGCACCTGGGTGACTGAACCCCACCCTGTACCCCCAGGAGTGGCTAATGAGCGAGCCACACCACCCACACACGGCACCCCCAGCGGGGCCTCGGGGCCAGGGGTCTGTAGGCCCCAGACAGCCTTCGCCTCTCCAGGAACAGCTGATAGCATCTAGCAGTCAGGTGTGGGCAGGCTCACAGACACCCCAAGAACAGACTGCGCTCCCCTGAGACACACCTCGGGTTTCTCTCAGTTTTCTCCCCCCTCCCCCTGAGGAAGAGGTCCAGCTGCCTGCTCGCATTTAGGGCACAGGGTGGAGCTTGGTTGTTGACCCCGGGCGGGGGAGGGCTGCAGGAACGTGGGTGGCATCTGAGGGCTTGGGGTCAGTAGCCTCCGCATCATCCCAAACAAATAGCCTTGACCGCTGGACTGAGTCCCAGTGGAGGGGAGGCTGGGAGCCCAGGAAATGAAAGGAAAAATAAGCCCTAAATAGAAGGAAAAGAAAAGGCACCATGCCAGCTGCTCTGTCAGCTGGAGGGTGCTGGTTCCCATGGCAACGGGGTGCAGGAGGAGCAGGCGGGGTGCCTGGCGAGGTGGGGAGGCCCCGGCAGGAGTCGCCAGGCACCCCGCAGATGCTCTCAACACTGGGAGTTTCGAGGAAGCCGCTGGATTCCAGCAGTCCAACCATCTTGCTTGGGGAAGGCTTCCACAGCCCTCCTGGGAAATGCACACACCTTACCTAGCCAGCACGTGTGTGGCTGTTTCTACAAAAGAGGTGAAAAGCAGAAAAGAGACCATGACGATGCTGTTTTCTTAAGTGCACAAACCAAGTTCATCGCTGCTCAGAAATGTGTAAATGGGATTTCGCGGTTACAGGATGACAGTGGCAGTCGTTTGGTTGGTACTGTCTGTTGGTTTGTTTTGTTACTCTTTTGTTAAATACACACACACACACACACACACACACACACACACACACACACACACACACGGGCAGCTGTCCCAAGCAACCCTGATGGTTTTGACAAGTGTCGGGCTGAGGGAGGAATAGCAGCATGCCCAGAAAATAACGCTGAAGGCTATCTTCCAAAAGGAGGTCGATTTATTATTCTGAGTTTGCAAGTGGCACAGCCTCCTTGTAAAACCACCAGACTACACTGAATTGCCAGTAACGGCAGCAGCCGCAGTGCCCCCGGTTGAAATCTGGACACTGAGCTTCCCAGGTGATTTTTTGTGGATAGGTGTCTAGTGTTGAAAAACAACTAAGAAATTGTTGTTATCTTTTTTCTCTTCCAATATTCTGAACCATAAACGGATCGAACGTTCACCCACATCCAGCTCATAGCTTTTTCCTGAAGGCCACAGTCGAGCACTCTCTGTTCACCCACCAAATGTGCTCTTTTCACCTCGTACATCAGTAAATATTTCGGCATTCCCTTTTGGTACATACTGAAGGCAACATTTCTTTTTCCCTTTTCACCTAAAATTCCCTCGCTTCATATAGTATTCTTCATTATCGTCAGGATCACACAGTAGTCTGTCTTGTCAATATACCGTAATGGTTTAAATTAGTTCCCACTGGGGACATTTAGGCGGCTTCTCCTTTGGTTCGGTGTTTTTGTAACGACAGAGAGCGCGGCGATGAATACCTTTGTGCACAGAGCTGTTTGCTCGTGTCTAATTCTTATCTTAAAATAAACCCCCGGAGTAGACACACAGCCTTACAGGATATGAATTCTTTATGGCTGTTACTGTATACAGCATTCAGTTGGTCTCCCAGAAGATGAAACCTTCCTAACAAAACCACACGAGCTTCCGCTGTTGCACACTCTTGTGCTGGCCCTCTGCACACCAGCCTGGGACTCTCCAACAAGGGGGTGCAGACCCCTCCGTCATGCTTCCTATCAGTAGGAGGATGGAGAGAATGTTCACGTCCAAGAAAGCTAAGGTCCCCAGGTGGGGAGGGGGCTGTGGAGTGGCCAGATCTCCTGGGACAGCCCCCTACATCCGGGTCCTGGGTTCAGCCCCACAGCCAGCACAGTCTCCCCAATATCAGAAGGGGGCTTTCCTGCCAGAATACGCCTGGCTCCTTTGGGTCTGTCCTTATGTGGGACACCTTGACATTGAGTGATGAAGGAAAGAGAGCCATATAGTAAGTGCATCTGTCAACATGTACACAATGGAGGACACCCCGAAAGCCGTCTTGGGGACCAGATGGCTGATGTGCCACAGCCACCCAGGAGCACTGAAGAAGGGCTTGCTTTTAATGAAGTTGATCTCTGTGAAGCAACACCCAGAGAGTTTGGGGTGTATTAAGTGAAAAACACAAGTTGGCACAGAGTGAGTTTGTACAATTCCGTCTTTGTTTAAAAGTACAAGGGGCCGTCCATGTGTGTCCCCGCCTAGGAAATTCTGGAAGCGTACCCCAGACTTAACAGGAGGTATTTCCAGGGTGTGAGATTTAAAGGAAAGAAGTGGAAGTGGGGACTTAGATTTTTTTTTTTTTACTTTATCTACTTCTGTGTTGTTTGAAGTTTTTAGAATGAAAGTATTTTGCTTGCATCATTTTAAAAAAAAGATTTTTAGATGCTTATCTGTACAGAAGATGGCCCAATGTTATCTCCGGAGGTCTGGCAGAGCCCCTGGGGGGTTAGCAATGAGACATCTCATGGCTTTATGACTTATTCTCCCATGATGAATAAGACCAAAGGAGTGTGTGGCTTTGGTTTGGGGTTTTTTGTTCATTTGTTTTTGCTCTGCGGAGGGCCCCACAGCCCCCTGCCCACGTGGACACCGAGTCTGGAGTGGCAGTGCTGGCACTAATCTTTGCTTTTCCCCTGCAGGACCAGCTGTCCCTGTAAGTATAGCTTTTTGGATAACAACAAGAAGTTGACTCCTCGACGGGATGTCCCCGCTTATCCCAAGGTGAGATTAAATTGTGCCTCTGAAGAAACAGCAGCTCCTTACCCACAGCCTCAGGACACGGGGCCCCCCACCTTCAGCCACCCTAGCTTCCTGGCCGGGCCCCAGCTGTCTGCATGTTTGCAAAAACAGCTCCCACCCCATCTCTGGGCTGTGGAACGGGCCTGTTATTCTTAGGCAGAATATTTTTCTCTTTGACATTTGTTTAGCAAAAGTGGTCTCAGACCATAGCTTACTGTGCCAGGAGATAATAGCTAAAATTTTAAGTAAATTTTTAACAGTCTGCTTCATTGGATCTCCAGTCCCTGAGCAATACACAGTAATTATGAAAAGTTTTGCTTTTCTGCCACAAAAGATTTCTGTTACAAGAAACCCTAGGTTGTCGTTAAAGCAGCAGCCTGGGAATTGGGGTGGGGCGGGACCTCAAACAACTGCAGAAGAAAGGTCACCTGCCTGGACAGTGCCTGCAGCTAGCAAGTGAGCAGAACCCAGCCCAGCCCGTTTTCAGCACACTCTGAACCAAGCCCCAATGGCTGGGGTCCCACAGGTTGTCCGAGGTTTTCAGATGGACACCCGTGCCTTTCCCGTAGGAAAATGTGACCCAAATCTCCCATGATTTGGCCCCAGGGAACCACAAAGCCCAGCCTAGGTCCAAAATAAAAGGTGTCCGTCCTCCATTGCAGTTCCTTTTAAAAAAATAAACAAATACACCAAAAGTCCTGGGAGATGACTGTCTGTAGCCCCAAAACATCGTGACAGTCTTATGCCTAAAACCGCAGCCTGTTTCCTGTCACGATTTAACCCAAACTCCCTGCCCGATAGTCCCCGCCTGGGCCCTTCAGCCCCCTCAGCAAGCTGTGCTGTTTTGGCCCACAGCCAAGCCAGGGCTGGGTTCCCCAAAAAAGAAACTCCTGGTCGCTTCTCCACCAGCCTTTGAATGTAAACCAAGTTAAATTTTTCCCTTGACTTCATTTTTTCGTTTCAAGTCGGGTTTATTGCAATGTAATTGACTTGGGGAAGTCCAGCTTCTGTAGGGTCAGCGTACTGTGAACTTTGACAAGCTTGTGTGTCACGGAATGGACGCCACAAGGAAGAGGCGGGGCATTCCTGTCACCGCAGCACGTTCCCTCGTGCCCGTGCCACTGGCCGTGCCCGGCACTCTCACCTGCCTCAGGCGACCACTGATGGGGTGCCCGTCCCTAGAGTTTGCCGTTTCCAGAATTCCTGGAGTCTGGGGGTGTCCTTGAGAGGGGACAGGGAAAGTGGAGAGAACCTCTCCGAGCAGGGGGGTGGCAGCTCTGCCTCAGCGCAGAGGCCCCGCCCCGGGCCCGGCTCACCCGCCTGCTGTCCGCCCCTTCCAGTACCTTCTCTCGCCGGAGACCATAGAGGCCCTGCGCAAGCCAACCTTCGACGTGTGGCTTTGGGAGCCCAACGAGGTGAGTGAGGGGGCCTCCCCCATTCCAGCGTCGCAGGACCTGGTGGCCCCGATGGGAGCGTCGCTGTCACTCTTTCTTTCACCTTTCTCCTCTCTGTTCTTTTTGGGTTTTTATCTTGATTCTCCAGGTTTTAGGTGGGCTCAGGAGGGTCTGGGAGACGGAACCAAGGAAGGGCGTGTCAGGGACAGGCGGTCAATGCAGGGGCCTCGACCCTGGGTGGGCACTGACCGCCCATGGAGCACCCTCTGCAGAGCGTGTCGCCAGTCCCCAGGGAGCGCCTGCTGACCGCAAACACACCCTCTCGGGGGGCCAGCTGCTGTGCCCACGGACCCCCCACACTGTGGAGAAGCATGTCCCCTAAACGGGCTTTGGTGGAGAATCATGCTGAGAGAGGCGGCTGTGTGGCCCTGACACACACAGGATCTGGACCGCAAGGCGCTTCCTGCAGTGAGCTATGGCTGTAAAATTCCCTCTTGCTGAGAAAACACGAAAAACATTTTTTTGTTTGTTTGGCCCAGCGACCTGATCATGTCAGTCATACCCCTCTCTGAATCCCAAGAAAACAAAAGTCCTTCATCGTGGGCATCATCAGGTCACCAAAACTTACACTTTCCGGCTTTTGGGAAACAGACACGCGGCAAGGCTGCCCGGCCACCAGGACGAGGGCAGCAGCGGTGACATCCCGGCAGATGGCAGGAAGTGGGGACAGTGTCCCCCGCCCCCACCACCGAGCATTCGCTGGCAAAGTCATGGTCATGAGCACCCCGGGGGCGGCAATGTCCTGAGTGAACCTCATTTGTGCTCTCATCCACGCTTTCCCACCAAGGGGACACACAGATCCCCTCCCGGCCACCCTGAGAAGAGGCAGCCTGTGTCCGCAGTATTGTCCCGTGGCCAGCATTGAACCGGATGACACGTGCGCTCCAAAACATCCAGCCACCAAGTTGCGTGCAGGACGGGAGCGTGGCTATTACGGAGCAGGAGGCATTTTCGGTGTGCAGCTGCCACCTGCCAGATCAATGCAGGATCAGCAAAGGACTCAGTGTGGGAGGCGCCGTGACCTGAGCGGATGAGAGGTTGCTCTTCCAAACAGGACCTCTGGCCTCAACAGCTCCCACTGGATGGAGACCCAGGCTGTCCTGTCCACGGGCAAGTCGACACAACAGGTGGCTTAGGACATCCTGCTTCCAGCAGGTGGACAAGCGCCACTGCTGGAGATACCTGGAAAAATCATGCTTCTCTAAGTCGTTTGACTCCAGCCCCCTGGTGACAAAGCACCCGTGTGGGAGTGGGCACCGCTGCCTTGGCTACCTCCTCTAGGCACAGGGCTTTATGCCCTCACGTTGAAAGGTTGGGGGCCTCGCGCATCCACGGTGGGAAGGCCGCCTCCCTGCCCTCCAACACGCAGGTGAGAGGAGCGAGGCCTCTCCCTGCAAGCGGGCTGGCCTCTGGGTGGCTGTCTGCCAGCCTGGGGCTCCCCCGCAGTAGGTCTCCATGGCACCAGCAAACCGCTGAGGGGTCCTGTTGCTCCCAGAAAGTATCCACCTACTTGAGGTGACAAACCAGAGACAGGACCCCCAGCCTCTGGCAAACCTGGGGATGCCATGAATTTTAGACCATGGATGGAAATGATGAACAACGAAGGGGTCACATCTGAAAACTTCAGCAACCCGCCTGGCCCCCCAAAACTTCATCTGGCCGCCCATGAAGCAGCTCGCACCCTGAAACCTTCGGGGGTGTCGGTGTTTCTTAATTCCCCTTCCAAGCTTAAAGGGGCCTGCCCCACGTTCCCCCCTCAACAGCCAAGAGGCCGAAGCCTCCCGCTGCCCTCGTCCCTGTCAGAGCCCTCCCAGGGCCCCTCTCCTGAGAGCTGGGCGTGCAGGCGGGGCCTCCTTGTCCCCTGAGTCCTCCACGCTCGCTGTCATCTTGCTGGAGCAGGGACCCACTGCAGCGTCAGTGCGGCCAGCGTGCAAACAGATGCCCAGATGCCTCGCTCCTGCTCCAGGCCTGGCACGTACGTCACAAAAGTGACACCAGATGGTTTTGTCTGCCTGTCGTCTCCAGCTCCTGACTCCGGTTTCACAGCAAACATTTCATTCAGCTCATCGGCGTGGCTCCAAGCGGCTGGGCATGGGCTGTGGGGGCGGGGAGCAGGGGTGACGGCTGCAGCCCTCTGGACCTGAGTCTGCCCTGCCTGTGCAGGCACCGGGGCAGCTGGCAGAGGTCACAGGCGGGGCACAGGTGTGTGGCCCTGGTGGAGGAGCACTCACTGGTGTCATGCCCCGCACCCCCAGGTGACATCTCAGTTGTCCCCGCTCTGCAGACCTCCATCCCTCTAGGCTCTCACTCCAAGACATGCTTTCCCAGAAAGCGAAGCCCACTTTGTCAAGCTCTCATCGATTAAAACGCATTTAATCTTTCTTCCCTAGCTTAATTAGCTCCAAAGCTCTGAGCGATATTTAAATAGATCACAGCAGTAACAATAAATCCTCTCTGGGACTGAAAACAAAATCTATTTCAAGTTGAGCAGGGGTTCCTTTAGGAGACAGTCGGTGAATTCAGGTTTGGGGGGGGACACGTACCCAGAATGGGCGCACCTTCCAGACACCACAGGTAACGCATTAAAAGGTGTCTCGGTCCCAGCGGGCCCCAGAGGGTCCCAGTGAAGAGCGTCTGGGAGGTTAGTTGTCAGAGCTCCTTGGTGCCCTGGGCTCAGGGAAGCAGGGGGCCTTGCTGCCTGTGAGGCGCCGTTCTCAGGTCTGCGTTAGAGGGGCCGCATCCCAGAACCCCGACTGTGATGCTGATCACTGAGGCTGTCTCGTGTGTGGAAATAAACCATTTCTGAGGCGGTCCTTCGGGCACAGTGCCCTCTCTCACCCAGTGGCTCACTGTGCCATGCACAGAATTCCGTTGCCTTCTGAACCCTGACAGCCCTTTCAGACCCTACATCCTGAAGCCCCTGGCTTCACTCCCAGGGACCCCTGGAAGGGGAGGCTCACCC